TCGAGTCAAATCTCTCAGTCAGTGCTCTGATGTGGTCGGCAAAGAGCGGGATCCCCAAATCCTCGTGTATTTGCCTGTTACTAACGTACCAGGGTGCGTTAGTAGCAATGTGAAGACACTTGGATTGAAACACTTGCAGCTTCCTGACATACTTGCTGGCAGCTGATCTCCAGATTGGGCATGCGTAATCCATCATGGGAAGGATGAGCTGCTTATAGAGGAGCACACTGTTCCTCATGGACAGGCCACTTTTCCTATTAAGGAGCTGGCCTAGCACACCCAATCGTTGCGCCACCTTCTTTCCCACATGGTTGACGTGCGTCGACCAGGTAAGCCCGGCGTCAAGGGTGACCCCCAGATACCGCGCTGTTTTGACCCATTGGATCGGCTGTCCGAGAAACTGCACCACTCTGGGCTGTTGGATGCGTCTTCTCGCCGAAACGAAGAGAACCGTGGTGCTCTTCGAGACGTTGATAGCAATCCTCCAGGCCCTGAGCCCGAGCTGCAGTCTACTGAGGTAGGTCTCCAGATACCCGACAAGAAGCGTTGGGCTACGGGACGTGGCTACGACAGCCATGTCGTCCAACCGTGTCAAGAAGACTGATGGGTCTGTAGGAAGAAGGTAGCATGGGGTCCTTCCCTGGTTTCAGTATGGACACTACGCGAGCGTGTTTCCATGCTGAGGGGAAGTGCTGCCTGCGGAGGACTGCGTTGAACACTTTCGTGAGAAAGGTTATCGCGTGCTGTGGAAGATGTCTCAGGACCCTGTTCGGTATACCGTTGGGGCCCGGAGTCTTGCCAACCATGAATCCCTTGATGGCCTGGATGACCTCCGAGGGACTGGTTAATTTCGGTTCACTTGCGGGGGCATATGCGTATGCTCGTATCGCCTCATTAACCATGTCGATTACAGCCGGGTCCGACGGGTTGTCTACCGGCTGGAACTGGACCTCAAGGTTGTCGGCCAGAGCTTCTGCCTTCTGAGAGTTCGAGAGAGCCAGTACTCCCGGCAAGGGGCGATGGAGTGGGGACTCACATCACCCGCTTGATCATCTTCAAAAGCGACTGGTCCTCGCAGTCCGATTCCAGCGTGTCGGTCCACTGTTCGTTCCTCCACTCGTTGAGACGATAGGTCACCGATCTCTAGAGTCGGTTGACCTGCGCTTTGAGAGCGGGGTCCCTCGTGCCCTGCCACCGTCTCCTCAGCCGGTTCTTCAGGCGTATTTCATCCCGAATACTAGAGGGCAGAAGCGGTTGCCTGTCAACGCGGGGTCGAAGCTTGGGAGCGGACACCGCTGTGGCTTCGAGGATGGCACTGGTCAGCTCCTCGACACACTTGTCGACTGCCTCCTCATCGTTTACCACGGGATTCCCCGGGAGTCTGCTTTCGAGGCAAGCCTGGAATGCACCCGTCCATTCTCGCGAAGTCCGGGCGGTCAGGTAGATTCTGAAAGGATGATCGGAACGTGGTGTCGATGAGGACGGGCAGGTGGTCTGAGCTGAGCGCGGGACAGACAGTCAGATGTACCGGTAGGACAAAGTCCTTGATGAGGACAATGTCAAGGAAATCGGGGGTTCCGTTGTGTGTGTAGGGTGCCGTGGTTGGGGAGTCCGGTCCGTAGAACAGACAGTCAGATGTACCGGTAGGACAAAGTCCTTGATGAGGACAATGTCAAGGAAATCGGGGGTTCCGTTGTGTGTGTAGGGTGCCGTGGTTGGGGAGTCCGGTCCGTAGATCAAGCAGGAATTTCTGTTGGCGTAATCTCGCAGGAGCGAATCCCTCGCAGAGATCAGCCTAGAATTCCAGTCCGTGTGCTTCGCGTTGAGGTCACCAGCCAATAGGACTGGGACACCCCCGCTCAGGCACTCGGACTAATTCCCTACTATAATTATCTCAACAACACTTACTTGGCTGGACTCCATGCAATTGCCCAAATAGGTGTTTGGGAACCTCCAGGCCTCTTGATGTGACCCTTTTCTTCACCAGCCTACAAAGAAACAACAATCATGATAGGTTTCAAAATCATACAACTGGCCTCATGCATAACATATAATATACGGCAGAACGCTAAAGATGCAAATAGCCAGAAACAACAAAGGTTTTCAAGAGTGGTACAATGAAACCTCATAAACAAGACAAACAGATGTAGGATTCAAGGTTTTCATAATGGCAAGTCTAAAGATGGTTGTCTGGTAATGGCTGTAATCTGGTAGAAGTTTATCAACATTTCAGAGGTCCTTGCTGCCTCCATCATCAGGGTGAAGAGTAAGCCGTGTGAATGGAAATGCTAAAGTTATAGGAACTTGACCGTTAAGGAAGAGCCCTCCTGTAACTGGTGTCAAAATCAGGCAAGGGCATGGGAACCAATTGGAGCATGGGGGCATGTCACACTATAAGAGAGAAGGATGGAAAGAAAGAAGAGAGAGAGATCCAAGAATGGGGCCCTTATAAGAGTTCCTGGAAGTCTGGCCAGTGGATCACCAGACATATGGGAGGTGGGTGGACATGATGCAGGGAAGTCAGGAGATTTAAAGTGAACACTGGTCAGGACCAGATGTGCCCTGAAAAGGGCAATGTAGTGGCTAGTGGCCCAGGCGGGACTGGCAATGCTCTACAGGATGCTTCCAGAGTCCTCTGAGGCAGTGAATGAGAGAGGTTTTGCATTTCAGGTGGCATACCAAGTCCAGGTTCAAACTTGGGCTAAGGAGGAAAAAAGTAGGATGAGCAGAATGAAAATAAAAAAACAAAACACTTTAATATTGCTGACGGCTTGATTTCATTAGTCATTATCTATGTGGTGCCATACATCCAACTTCATTTTGGTATAATTTCTGATAGTGTGTAGGATTTTGTATGAAGAAATAATGGTCAACTGGTTACAGAATAGTCCATAAAAATATAGGCAAGAGTGTGCAGAAGCAAAGGACACACAAACAATTCATTCAAATGAAATACAGAAAAATAAAATGTATAATAAAATGTAACAATTGTTCAGGCACACTTCTTTCCTTGTGGCTATATCTCAAAAAACTAAATGTGCAATGTATTTGTTCACATTTAATTTGTTACATATTTTACTAGAAGTTATCAATTAAATAATTTATCTTCTACACTATTCAATACATTTTGCATAGCTAATCAATAAAAAGAATTATTTTTTCCAATTAATATTAAATACAGCAGCTGCAAACCTTATTTCTTATGGATATACAGCCATTGCCAAGGCCAAGGGCTAGATATTGGCCATCATTTGTCCAAGCACAAGTATTGATGCGAGCGCTGGACTTGTGTTTCTGCACAGATTTCTGCTCAGCTGACCAAAAAGCAAAGTCACTGATCGCACAGCTTGCCAAGTGATGAGATACTGGGCTATATGCCAAACACTGAATGGCATCATTATGTCTGTGGAAAAAGTTTCAATTCTAAATAGTAACACTCACCATGGGCTATAAAAAATTTGGCCTTGCATATTCTAATTATGACAGAATACATTTTATGTAAAGAAAGTGGGCAAATAATTTGTTTTTAATAACAGAAAACATATACAAGTATTATAAAAATGTATTTTATTTTTCAGACATTCCTTGATTTTAAAGCTTGTTTGCTTCTAGTTAAAATATTTAATGAAATTAAATATGAATTACAAAACAAACTTACGAATATTTTAAAACCCCTTCAAGCTTTGAAGTCCAAATAATGACAGTTTTATCAGCACTTCCAGATGCAAAACGTTTTCCATCTTTTGCATAACAAACACAATACACTGTATCTTTATGACCTATTAGAAAAATATCAACATATTAATCAGTATTTCCCTCAGCTCCTTTATATGCAAAATCAAAAATTCCATCCTGAAAAATTTGTGCAAAGCAGCCCATTACAATGTCTACTACATGAAAATTCTTAAAACCTCTAAAATGTTAGTGGAAAAGTCCATGCAATATTAATTTAAAAAGAATGTTGCACAAATTTTAATGTTGTATGACCAATATAATATATGTTCATGATATCATTTATGTAATACTTCAAAAAAGGTAGGGAATAGAGATTGGATCATACGAAGTTCACCTTAATTAACACAACCACACCAAGTATTGGAAGGTATAGCATTTTAACCAATAGCATTATTAAATAAAATGTCATACTACACCTTTCAATGGCTGAATAAGGGAACCATCACTAGTATCATAGACAAGAACCCTCTGACCTGCTGCAACTACAAGATGAGATCCATCTGGATTGAAGCATAAATCATATATGCTGAAATAGGAGTGTGGGCAGTATTAACACAAAGCACAATTACATTTTCTGCACATGGTAAATGCACGAAAACATTTCTATTCTCAGCAAAGTCAGGCGTCACTTATTTTATGAGATTTGCTTACCACTGTTCCACTTTGTCCCGATCATGAACTTTGTCCACCCATGCTGGCACAGCCCTCATTTTAAGAAAATGCTTAGAATAAACTCCATATACCACACAGAGGAATGCTTTGTTTTGGTTTCGTTGTCAGGGTAACGGTGACGTAGTATTTACCCGCCATGTTACTCTCTGACGTCATATTGGGTAGTGTTGCATGATAAAATTTGTAGCCGAAGCGAAGACTGATTATTTGTAAAAACGAAGCATTATTTTGGTTTGCTAATTTTGTTAAATTGTTACACAGATCATGCTTATAATTTGAATTTCGTTATCTGTATCCATATAGTAAGCGCTCAAGGTTCATAGTTTATGACACGCCATGTTGGTCGCGAAAATTTAGTTTTGTTTGCATCAGTTTGCAGGAACCCGAATCAGGAGAGCATATTGGATAACTGAAAACGTCCTATGTTAGTGGAACCATGAAGAAAGTAACATTGGAAAGTACAAAAAAGGTTAGACAAGAAGCATTTTATGAAAGTAGCCGCTAAGAAAGTTGCTATCAGAGTAACTAATGCGCTTGACACATTTGAAAAGTGAATTGAAATATGAAATGATGCATATTTAGCTCAAGCTAAAATTGAAATTATTTAAATAATAAAAATAGTAAATTGACCTCACCACACGTTAGGCACTCGCAAGAAAATATGTAGTATGTTCATGAGGAATTATTGTCAGCACAATAAATTAAGTGTAATGTCAAACCGAAGAAGAATGTTGCGTTCATCACGTAATAAAGGCTTACCGTCAGTTATAACTTCCATCTAATTAAGAGCCTTTCTTTGAATTGAAAACGACTTCATTTAAAGAACCTGATCCTTTTGATAACCTGGTATTGAAGAAGGGTGTGGTCTTTGTTTGACATACATTTTGTAACTAAAAATTTAAATGACCTGCTTCAGCATAGAAAATTCCTTCAGCGATGCACGAGAGACATACGAAAGTGGGCTTTGAAATTTACCGTGAAGAATAAAAGAACTTAATTATTTGATTTTATTTCTTTTCCAAATATATCCCATTAATTAAGTAGTTTTGTTAGGTAAGTTAAGAGTGGTTCCTGTTGTAGATAGTTTCAGTATCTGGAACTGAACTGCAGTAATAGATTGGATGGCTTGTAACAGAATCACAAAGTGTTTATATGACTCATCCATGGACTTTGTCAACCCTGTTGTCATACTTATGGACCCATGGAATATTATAAATATGTATGTTTTTAAATCCACTAAATTTCATAAATTAGCCACATTTTGTTCATCATAAGAAACACTATTGGGCTCCTGCATAGAGCTAATATCTAGTGGGCCAACAGATTTTTATCCTGATAAAGGGAAATTGAGCCAGTTTCTGATCATAGCAGTTTAAAAACAGACAAGTCCTAAAGTCAAGTCATATACTTGTTTTGCCATAGAATTCTTTATATATAAATTAGAATCACAAGGCTTCAGGACATTTTTTCCATCCAAGGCACATTTCACTTATGCAGGCACTGAGGCATATACTCCTTACAAAATAGTATTATACATTACTTATCTTATGTATTTGTGCCCAAAGTCATGTGTCAAAAATGCTTGTACTTTTATATATTATATTGTTATGAAGTAATTCACACTTTCAATACTTCTTTTATTCTTTTTCCAGTACTCCGTTAAAGTATTCTGCTGACATCAGTTTGTTCTTGCCATTTTTGTGATGGAATGTTTCTTCTCAGATAAATTCCAGGAAACACAATAAACTCAGAAATATAAACAGATCAATTTTTTGTTCAATTCATCTTTCTTATTTCCATTTTCCTAAAGGTTTTCATTTTAGAGAGGTTTTATCATTACTGTGAAGGAACTTGAAAAACATTAGGTTAGCTGGTAACTCTAAAAGAAATTGAAATGTGCTCGTCACTAACACAAGTGATAGTCATTGTGCCAAAACATTGGTAAAGAAATGCATGTCACTACTTTGCTTTGTTAATTAATTTGGTTTACTTTATGAGAAGGCACATGACTGATTTCATAGCTCCTGTTTCGTCTGATTTCAGGCAAACTGGCCTCATCAAGGATTGCACAGTAATATTTATTCTGAAAGTATTATTCACCATTGTTTTATATGTGATGAGGAAATTATGGGCAGAGGGGTCCCTCTGTTAGTAAGCCATACATCCTATACGAAGACTGGGCTTCCAACAAAAATAGGACAACTAATGGGGGAAGGCTTCATGGTGGTTGTATCAGTAGGAGACATGCTGTGCAAACGCTGTGCTGCTTTGTTGAATCACCTTGATAAATTAGAATCTGATCTAGATATTGTAAAACGGGCCCTAACAGGCTACTTGAAGATGAAGTATGGCCTCCTAGACAATACCGATGAACAAGTGGAACCTGATAAACAAAATATAACAAGTGAAACAAATGTAGAAGGTATGTTACATAGAACCAAGTCACTTGAATTATATTTATTCTTCCTATATTAGTTCAAGCCTTTGCCTCTCCAGCCATTTCTACAGCATTTTCTGTTTCCCATCAGTAACTCTCAACTTCTGTAACACTATCCCATCCCTCATTTTGGTCTTGATACTGCTATCTTATATGCTTAATAAAGGTCTTTTTTTTTTAGTACAATCTGCATCATCCAGTTTTAAACAACATTTAAAGAAATGGTGTTATTAGACTTTTATATTAAACTGAAAATGTTGGCATATGGACAGAACACTGACACATGCACACTGTCTGAAAGGAATGTTTGGTTATGTATGAACTGTCATTTATACAGAGTTTCCCAAAAAGATGTATACTCTCATTTAGTGAATGAAATAAAGACATTGGTGCTGCTGGGGACAGCTGTGCAAGACCATTCAATTTCTTGCTGGAGCTCTTGAAGTGCTGTACACCACATCCTTTAAGTAACCCCACAAGAAAAGTCAGGTGAGGTTAGATCTGACGATGGTGGGGTGTTCTCAACCCACTGATATTTTGTGTATCCGAATCATATGAAAAGATTACAGTGTCATATAAAGTGAATGTTTTGTGGCGACTGAATTTGATGAAAGACTCTTGGTTACCAGCTGTATCAGGTTGCTGAATGGTGAATAAACCATCTTCTGCCAACATTTTGAGAGCCATCTCTGCTCTCATCCTCAGGGCTGCTGTGTAACAAATCAGGTCTTTGTAGCATGCTCACCGATGGGAACTGGCGGTGGACAGGAGGTAGTAGCATGGTGTTGCTATCTGGTCTTTGTAGCATGCTTGCCGATGGGAACTGGCAGTGGACGGCAGGTAGTAGCATGGTGTTGCTGCCAATTCCTATTGGTCAGTGCAAAACAAAGTAATGGACAGACCTCCAGCAACACCATCCTACTACCTGCCGTCCACCGCCAGTTCCCATCGACGAGCGTGCTACAAAGACCAGATTTGTTATGCAGCAGCTCTAAGGATGAAAGCAGAGATGGCTCTTGAAACAGCAGAAAATATGGTTTATTCACCATTCAGCCACCTGACACAGCTGGTAACCCAAGAGTCTCATATTACAGTGTCATTTGTTAAGTGTAGACCACATTAAGTTCTTCCAGTAAGCACAATATACAGAGACTGATAACAAGGTTAATATTCTGTATTATAATCTGTATACATCTGTTTGGGACATTCTGCAGATATAGTGTGACCACAAACACCAAAAGCTGGCTTTACATGATAATAACTGCTATAAGAATCATTCTAATGTATCTAACACAAATGTCCACTGTATTATAAAGGTAAACCAAATGCATTTGCTAAAACCTTTGACACATAATGCTGAATATTCCTAACAAAATGTATATTTATTTTCAGAAATGCCTAATATGACAACTGGTGGTGGGACCACTGAGGTTTCTGAGGTAAGATAACAGATGCTGATAGTCAACAGAAACTAAATGCTGTGTAACCACTACAATGATCTTGCCACCATATGTACCAATTCCTGTCCCTTGATGGAGATGAAATGCGTATTCATCTGTGACTGTTCATCAGAAGCTAGGATGGTGGTGATTTATTTGTAGTTCAGGCATGTATTGTTATGTAATATGTTTCATATCTCATTAACAGGACTCATATGCAAGTGAATCAGAACCTGAGTCTTCACATGGAGCAGTCAGTAGCAACAGAACCATTGAAATTCTTCTAGATGAAGGCCCTAGTGCTTCAAAAGATCACTCACAAATCCAAAAGAAAGACTCATCTCCATCTCTGAAGGTATACAAGTGTACAACTTGTAATTTTAAAACATCAGAACTTGCTCTATTTCAACCTCACTTTTTGTCATGCAGTGAGCTGCCTTACAAATGCACTATGTGTGAGAAAAGGTTTGAGAGCCATAAATATGTTAGAACTCATATCATGGAAGCACATCTTTCAAATTGGACATGCCATTTTTGTAACACAGACTTCAGTGAAGAAAAGGAATTCACATCACACATGAAAACTCATTTATGTCACAAAAGTAGTTCCCCAAAAGTCCATGTAGAAGAATTATTGTATGCCAGTGGCAGCGAGGATGTAACATATAATTCTTCACAGAATGCGTTGCTGGCGAACTATGAATGTAATATTTGTGATTACCAATGCAGCAATAAGGAAGAGTTTGATGAACATGTACATAAGCATGTCATGTTGAAACCTTTTCAATGTAAAGTTTGTAAGAAGAGGTTCCAGCACCAAGAAGATTTAACACATCACATGGGTGACCACAAATCAGAACTCTTGTGCTCTGCAGAATTTGAGAAGAAACGTAGCCTGTTAAAACATGAACACAGTCTTATGACAGAGTTGAAGGGAGAGACATTTCACAACAAAGGAAATGACATAATAGAATTTTTGGATCAGACATTAGATGATACAATAAAACCAACCTCTGAGAAAGGGAAACTGGATAGTTTCATCAGAGAAACTGAAAATAAACACAATGCAGAGTCATCCAGTGAGTGCAGGAAAAATGAAATTGAATTTCATACATGCCAAGTATGTTCACTAACGTTTGTCAATGAATCGCTCTTTGTAGAACATACCAAGATGCATAAGCAAGAGGAAGCTAGTAAAGAACTATTCAACCAACATTCCAGAAAACTCCTACAAATGGGAAAAGTCGATCTGGATGATGATGCAACAGAACATGATGTGAACTCCATCAATTCAGAAGGAAGGCAGCAGTATGTTGAAATGGACGAAAGCCTTGAGGATATGTTTGAAAAGCTTGATTCAGTGACAGAAGTTGCTCATTCTTCTGAAAATAAAGAAGCAACAAATCACACTACACTAGCAATATATAAATGCAACACATGTCCAGAGGAATTCAGGAACAATGATGAATTGCAGCTGCATAAAGTAACACAAACACATCTCACTAATGATTCTCAGAATGACAAAGTGGCCATGATGATAGAAGATAAAAGTGATGCTTCTATAGTTGATACATTTAACCAATGTAAAACTGAAGAAAATGTAACCGATATGCAACAATGTGAAAGTATAGCAGACGATGGATTGTGTGCTGAAACTTTATTAATTGGGCATGCTGAAAGTCCGAAAGTCCTACCAATACAGAATGACCACTGCCAAATTCAAGAAAATGACAGTGAAAAGGATGGTTTTCTCGATATATTTGATATGGTGCGAGAAAAAAAACTTTCTGCAAATGTTAGTGGTGAAATAGATCCAGTTTTATTGCAAGATATGTGTGAGACGCAAGTGAAAGCAGAACAGATTGAAGTGACACCTGCAATAGAGTTTCTTCCACACATAGCACCAGACATGAAACATCTGAATGACAGTGAGGTGTATAAAACTGCACCCATTCCAACCCAGAGCAACAAGACTTATGTATGTGCGATGTGTGGTTATCGAACTCCCGCAATGTTTGATTTGAGGAGGCACTTCAAAGAACACAGACAGAAATCATTCAACTGTAAAATTCACAACAAAGTGTTGCCAAGCACCCAGAAATTGTCTAACCACTTAAAAAGTCATGACAGGTTTTATGGTAAAATGACATGTCCATATTGCTATGTACAATTCCCTGACAGGTATAGCCTTCAGCAACATTTACAGGAGAAGCATCAAAAGGAGAAGGTGATGTACAAGTGTTCATTTTGCAGCGAAACTTTCAACACAAAGAAAGCATACAAAGCACATGAGGAGATTCATCCAGAAAGATTTTCTTTCAGGTGTAATGAGTGCGGTACACCATTCCTGAAGGAGAAGCAGCTCCTTGATCACAAAGACGCGGTTCATAGAGATCCACATTGTCGTTTCTGTGGTAAAGAGATAGTGAAAGCAAAGACCCTTAGAAATCACGAACTTAGACACATCAGACAAAAAGATCATTTTGAGTGTGATATCTGTAAACGGGTGTTTAAAACAAAGACAGGTCTAAGGCACCACATTGCAGTGCACACTGGTGAGTACAAATATTGCTGTGATTATTGTGGCCGAGGCTTCATGTCCCGCATGATGATGGAAGAGCACCGCAGCATGCACACAAAGGAGGAACGCTATATCTGTGATGTTTGTGGTCGCAAGTTTAGTTTCCAGAGCACATACTGGATTCACCGTAAGTGGCATGATAATCCTTATCCATATAAGTGCAGCTTCTGTGGCAGGATGTTCCGACACTCATCATTGCTGGCAGTTCACAAGAGAACCCACACAGGTGAACGTCCATACAAATGTCCACACTGCCCATTAACATTTCCAGTGGGTGGAACACTCAAGCGACATCTTATCCTACACACTGGTGTATATCCATTCAACTGTGAGAACTGTAAACGTGGTTTCACCACCCGGCATAAATATGCAACTCACCTTGCAAAGATCCATGGAGATTTTGAGATGCTTCATGCTAAGCCCCAACAGAGCGAGTTCAAAATGGTCATCCGAGATGAACCTAAACCCATCCAACAGCCAACAGTGTGGGAAGTTACTGACGACTCTGTTCCAGACCAAATGAATTTCAAACTGGAGACAATTACAGGAGATGATGATAGAAGTAAAGACCCAGTTCATGAAGGAATTGCTTGCACTATAGTTTCAGATGAGATGCTGGTGGATAACATGGTTCCTACCAGAGTAGTGGAAATTGTTTTAGATGAAACTTCACAAGCTGTTGCAACAGTTACCCTTGCAGAACATGCAAATATCCTTCCTGATATCTGGTATCAGTAGGTTTCTTTCACCATGTACATTCATCACAGTTGTATGTAATACAAGGAAACAGGACCGCTGTATATAAAATGCTTAAAAAAATGTAAATGAAATTAAAATATTGAAACAGAATTCACTAGTAGCAATGCAGTACATGATTTCAACAAAGGCAAAGGATTTTTAAAGGATAGCTCTCCAATTTCCACAGCATATGCTGGAAACTGAGGCGATTCATAGTGTATAAATAAATATCCTATCTTTACTAATTGCTGTTGTACACTGCATTTCCTGACCTGACAGTCTTTAAACAGAACAAGTATAATTTCTGTACAGTTAGGAAAACTTGCTCTGTGACAGAGTATAGGACAAAGAATTGAACATGCAGGTTGTGGGCATTTCAGTCATTATCTCTGAAGTTATTTATTATATCAGGTCTCAAGTTATTTTTTTTCCCTGGAGATTACAAGCCAAGTTGGAAATTAAAAATAGAACAAAAGAAATTGTCAGTATATTGCAGGATCTGAAGTTTTCATGACGGTACAACCTAGAAGACAGCCATCTTCTGAATGTACATTGCTTTTAGTTAGCTATTTATGATGTGCACATTGTTTTCTACAAATAGTTCACATTATGGTGAGTCATTCCAATCAGTGAGGGAAAACGTTTTTTCTCCACATGTTCTTTGAAGTATACAGATTAGGGTATACAAATTCCCAGGAGTGGAATTCTTTTATTGTTCCTGAAATTGCTGTAGAATGAAATAGGCAGAAGCAGCATGATCTATGAAAGTTATTCAAATATGAAGGCAAAATCATCTGCTTACCTTTCTGGCTCTATTCTTTTCTTATGAATTGCCATTTATTTTCAGAATTCTTTAATGTAAACAATCTTGGATTGTTGACCCCCCCCCCCTTTCTGAAAGGTTGGGGGGATTCAAATAAAACCCTAAAATCTTAAGAGCACATTGCATGCAATCTACTCAAACAAACTAACCACTTCCTAGCTACAAATGAAACTCAGCCCTGTGACATGTCTGGTTGGTAATCTGAACAGGCACATCAGAATTCCATCTCTGCAATGGCAAGGTAAGTAAGGCATGTTTTTGGAGGACATAAATCATGTCCACAAAATTTGGAGTTTCTCACCTTAAGATTGGCTTTCTGAAAATTCATCCTTAGTATTTGAAATGCCTCATATTGTTGGATAGTTACCTCTACAAAAAAACAAATACAAAGATTGCTAAGCTTGTTTAAAGTAAGATGTTGACACCTCTGAGCCACACTGACATCACAGTTTGTCTGTCACATGTCCATTATTTTTAAGCCAACTGACAGTTCAAAGTAAGTTCTGCATTACTAAATCAAAACTAAATGGAACAATGTTTCAAACAGCATGGTATTGGTAGCCTACAATGAAAACTTCAGGCAACAGCTTGAATTCAGTGACTGCAACATCAGCACAAATGTGAATATGAATTTTTCTGACTGCCATTATTTGTATGGTACATTGTATGAACACATTCCACCAGCAAGAAAGGAATATCACACACAGTAGTCACATGATTGCCCCAGCAGCTAACTTTATCCCAAACAGAGATGGTCCATGCTGTTGAAACGTCCTGATGGAAACAAGCTTGAATATATCTCAGGATATCATTGGAGGGGAACAACAAGGGAGGAAGTAAGGTTCTCACAATAGCAAGGATGAAGACACTTCTGAAGTCTATGTTGACCAGTATTAGAGCCTCTCCCCTAAATGGATGTTAACTCTTGACCATGAATGTGTCAACGTATACATATTTTACTTGAAAAACTCTGTAATCCCAGATCTTAAAGCAGAGGTTATCATCAGTGATGCAGCAGGA